TATTACATTTTATCACATATGATGGTTTCTAAAACCTTGTGATGAGTTCTTTCACTTCCACTGGAACGGAGACAGAAGAATTCCAAATAGCTATGTGGGTCTATGGAGCATGTTAAGAAATAGGCATACTGCGAGAATTAGAATTAGTGTCAGTCTTATTTAAAAGCTTTCTTATTTAAAAGATGTTTGCAACTCTGTATTGTTGGCCAAGATCTCCTCAACACTCCTGTGAAGTAGTTGAACAAGAAGACATAAAGAAAGTGATAAAGAAGTTAGAAGACTTTGATTGGATTGATGTATTAATACGCACTTAAATGAAGACAAGAACAAACATTATTTAAATGAAATTTTTTTCTGTGATAACAGGATAATGATCAATTCTAGACCAAAAGGTTTGACCCAAAGTAAATATAAATAAATACATTTTTAAAAATCCATCACCTCTTGGATCAAAACTAGAATTTTTTTTTCTCATTAGTGGGAAATAGAGACCCATGATTAATACCACTTAAGATATAAAAGAATTATTTTGTTAAAAAAATTGTCAGTTGGATTTTAACAAGAAAAGTGACTTCAAGAGTTGGCAATAAGTAAATGTAATGTGGAGAATTGATGACACTGAATTCAGATACCAAACAAATGAGAGTGATACAATGTATTAATCAACAATAGTAGGAAGACATGGTTACTGTAATGCTGGAGGGAAAGCAGGATTAGGCAGTATTACCAGTGCTCAGAAGTAAAAGTCACCAAAAAAGCTGAGATCCAGAGTAGTAGGTCTGTGAGAACTGAAGCTGTGGAGTACATACCTTTATCCCCCAAGGCAGAGGAAGAGGGGGGGAATATATTGGTTTCTTTCTCTTTCCCAATCTCTAAAACTGTCAAAGCCTCCCATAGTCATACTCAGCCAGAAACCAGCCATTATAGAAGCAGCCTTTAGGATTTAGCCTACTTTTAATGCAGAACGGTGGTGGGGAGGGGTAAGTGAAATTCCAAAAGGAAACATAGACCAAACCAGCATATATTTCCATGATATACCATCAAGGTTAACGATGTCAGTAATGAACATCTTAAAACTATGTTACTACAAGGAAGAAGACGCCATAAACTCTACCTTCTTCCTCATTTTATTAATGTATGAAAGAGTAGATGTTTAAATGTACATGAGATTTGCTGAAGTCCTCTATTATCTTTTATTATATATGTGATATATATATATATCATTTATAAGCTATAAGTTGCCCAACTTATATCTCTATATATATCTATGTGTGTATATATATATATGTATATATATGTATATATATGCTGAAGTCTTCTATTTTTGATTGATATATATATATATACCAATCATATATGTGATATATATATAATTTTTTTCCTCATTTATAAGCTCTAAGTTGCCTAACAGTTTTGTGTGTGTGTGTGTGTGTGTGTGTGCATTTCCACATTTTGGTTAAGATGATGTAACTTTTTTTTTAAGATTTTATTTATTTATTCACCAGAGAGAGCGAGAGAGTATAAGCAGGGGGAGCAGTAGAGGGAGAGGGAGAAGCAGGCTTCCCGCTGAGCAGGGATCCCAATGCGGGGCTCGATTCCCACGACCGTGAGATCATGACCTGAGCCGAAGGCAGATGCTTAACCATCTGAGCCACCCAGGTGCCCCAAGATAATGTAACTTTTTAAAAATATATATTTTATTTATTTGTCAGAGAGAGAGCGAGAGAGCACACAAGCAGGGGAAATGGCAGGCAGTGGGAGAAGCAGGGCTCCCGGCTGAGCAAGGAGCCCGATGCAGGACTCCATCTCAGGACCCTGGGATCATGACCTGAGCCAAAGGCAGATGCTTAACTAACTGAGCCACACAGGTATCCCAATAATTTAACTTTTATATGCATAGATGTGGTGATATCAACTATACATTGCAATTTTTTAAACAAAAAATACAAAGGATCCTCTGTGAATGTTAAGGGAGATTGAATTTTTAAAACCTGTTCTTATTTAAAAAATCTATGCCATTAAACCACACAAAAAACAGTAGGTATTGGGCGCTTCGTGGCTCAGTTGGTTAAGCGACTGCCTTTGGCTCAGGTCATGATCCTGGAGTTCTGCTTCTCCCTCTGACCCTCCCTCCTCTCATGTGCTCTCTCTCTCTCTCATTCTCTCTCTCAAATAAATAAATAAAATCTTAAAAAAAAACCCAGTAGGTATTATATGAAATATTTTAATTAGAACTTTCTGAGCCAGAGGGAGTCAAATTATATCCTATTGGCCATCTCTCAAACATCATCTCATGAGAATATAAAAAGGATGAAATAGTTACTTCCTATTGGGCCCCACACCAAGGGTAAGCAGATTTCACAGAGTCTCACTCAGAAAAAGAAGACAGAGAATGGGGCAAAACAATAACAACAAAAACTATTGAAGGAATGGTTAAAACCTCAAGTTTGATAAAGCAGATGCAAGACTCTCAACAAGCCTAAGTAGGATAAATACAAATAGATCCACACCTAGACAAATAACAAACAGATGAAAGCCAAAAACAAACAACAAATCCTGAACACAGGAAGAGAGAAACAACTCATTAAGATATGGTGAAGCATCGAAATGAATAGTAGCTGACATTTTATTAGAAACAAGAGAAGGCAGTAGAATAATATATTTATAGGGCAGAAAGAAAAATATAATGTCACCCAAGAATCTTGTATCCAGCAAAAGCATTCTTCGAAAATGTTGACAAAATAGAGCTATTTTCTATAAGCAAAGAATGAATCTGTGGCTAGCAGACTTGCCTTATAGGAAATACTAAAAGAAGTTCTTCATGAAGAAAGAAAAAGAAACCAGACACTCGGGCGCCTGGGTGGCTCAGATGGTTAAGCGTCTGCCTTCGGCTCAGGTCATGATCCCAGGGTCCCGGGATCGAGTCCCGCATCGGGCTCCCTGCTCCTTGGGAGTCTGCTTCTCCCTCTGCTTCTCTTCTCTCTCTCTTTCTGTCTGTCATGAATAAATAAAAAAATCTTTAAAAAAAAAAAAAAATCTCTAAAAAAAAAAAAAAAAGAAACCAGACACTCAAATTTTTAGGAAAAAATGAATAATATTGGAAAATATGATATATGGATTATCATTAATAACTCCATAATTATATATTTTTTAGATTTAACTTTTACAAAAGAAATAGGATTGTATAAAGCAATAATTATAATACTATACTATTGGCTTTTGTAGGCATACTTAATATGTAATATATAATACAATAATAGCACAAAGGGGGAGAAAATGGAGTTAATTGGATGAAAGTTCTTTGTGTATGTATATTAATATTAGAATTAATATTAGAATCAATAGTTGATATGAATGTGCAGATTATAATATATGAAAATTCCTTTTATAACCTCTAAATCAACTACAAATATCAAAAGTTTACTAAAAAAAAAGTAGAATAACTAAAAATATACCCTATTTACCACAGAAGAAGACAGAAAGAGGAGTAAAGACAGAGTAGACATATAAAAACAAATGGGAGGTCTGGTCCCAGGAATTCAGCTGTATAGGGATCAAACCATTCTGAACACCTACAAACTCAACAGGAGATTGAAGAAAAGAATAGCAACAACTCTCTGAACAGAAAAGCGACCACTTTCTGTAAGGTAGGACCTGTGGAGAAGTGAATCCGAGGCGATATTTAGGAGGGTAGACAGCAGGGGCGGGGGCCTCCATCGGACACTTCTGGCAAGTGATAGAGCCGCGGAGCACAAAGTTGGAACTTTTAGAACTCGGCTCCACTGAGGGACGTCGCTCCAGTGGCTAGGCTGGGGGTGGGACCCTCACTGGGACAGTGTGGTTGCAGGACTCTCAGGGTCATAGAAAGACCAGGGGTGCCTGAGTGCGGCAGAGCTCCCGGGTATCAGAGTGGGTAAGTAGGCTGCAGAGACAGAGCCGAGGAGTGGACTCTCAGCTCGAGGTTGCCATAAACCGTGGTCCACGGCACAGTCGGGCCACTGCTCCTCCAGCAGGGACCCAACAAGTGGCAGATCTGGGGAGACTCCCCTTCCTCCCCCGGGAGAAGGGGTTATGGGAGTACACCACAGGGATCTGCTGGGTTTGAAGCCTCCACACAGAGTCGGGTGCCAGAGATAGAAACGCTCAGTCACAGACCGGGTGAGCACGGAGTGTGGCTGGAGACCGGGGAGTTGGGAGTGACTGACTGCTTTTCTCTGGGGGCTCACTGAGGAGTGGGGCCCCGAGTTCACAGCTGGTCTGGGGTGGAGATTGGGAGGCTGCCATTTTCCCTCTCGTCCTCCAAAGCTTGCAGGGAACAAAAGCTCCTGAGAGCAAACCTGAGCAGGTTACTTAGCCCAGACCTGGCAAGGGCAGGACAATTCCGCCTCGGCAAAGACTTTGGGGAACCATGGCAACACACCGCTCCCCCAGAAGATCAGCAAGAACAGGCAGCCAAGACCAAGTTTACTGATTAATGAGAACAGCAGAACGCCAGCGCTAGGGGAATACTGCACATAGTATTCATGGTTTTTTCCCCATGATTCCTTAGTCTTTCAAAGATATTTTTTTTTCAAGTATCACAATGTTTATTGATAGATACAAGTATATAAAATCAGGGCATGAACATGACTTGATAAATTAAGTAGACTTAATTTCAATACTATAATAAGAGGGACCAATTCAAATTCTCACCATTTGTTTCACACCCACAAAACCACTTCAAGGGCATTAACGATCTCTCAAAACTGATCAGTTTTGTGCAAGTAAACCATGTTTCTTTTAAAAAGACTTGTGCACTTGCCCAGGCTCAAGGATATTAAAATCTAGCACATAAAGCCCATTACTAGAGGTAGAAATAGGCAATATACTATTACGGCAACAACCATCAATTACAGTTTAGAATTTTTCTGTAACAACCAAATGGATAATCAAATATTGCAACAACTCAAGTATTACTGAGCAAAGTGCATTTCTACAGTATTCAGTGTTGCTATTCAGTCTTCTAACTTAAAACAGCCTATGATAACTGGCAGCAAAGAAGGTCCTTGCAATAGACTGCCTCTGCTTGAGAACTTAGGATGTAATTATTGCATGCTGCTAATATACTATCTAAACATTAAAGATACTCCTAAAATATTTGATGGTAGACTATGATTAAGACATTACACTACAAAAAAACCTTATGCAGAAGGAAATCCTAATTGACGTGCTTCTGCTTTAAATATTGTGAAAACATTACAGCGGAATGAATTTTCGCAGTGGTTAGGTCAGATGCAGTTATGTCATAGCAACAGTATGTTTTGCACAATTTAAGGCTTTGGCTGGTTCTTTAGTCAGCTTCTTCCTCGGACTCCTCCTCTTCAGCAGTTTCTAGCCAGGTTAGCCACTGATTCACCTGGAACAAAGCCTTGACTTTCCCAGGAAACTCTTGGGTTATATCTTCTTTCCAAGCCAAGAAAGCTTCTTCTTCAATAATTTCCATGTCATAAAAGTGAACAAAAAAGCGGAGTAACATGCCTTTGGGGAAGTTGCTGTGGTAGCAGTGCACCTGCAGAGCATACAGGGCACTGACTTGCAGATCAACATGATCATGAAGGAATTTCTGCATTACTGGCTTGAAAGAAAGCAGCAGTTGTTTTTCCTGCTCTAACTGTTCTTTGGAAGGAGCAGAGGAAGAATCTGTCTCATCACTGGGTGGGTTTACTTCACTAGAAATATACTGTAAGAAACTAGTCATTAAGATGTTCACAAATCCTTTATCTACATGAAATTTGGGGGAGATGTTATCTTTAATCCATTTATATATGGTTTGAGGGGATGGATCCAACTTTATTTGCTTCAACAGTTCCTTCTCCAATTTGAGAAGTGGGAATAAGAAGCTCAGTCCCTTTCCTTCCAATATCTCCAACATGCGGTTCTTATTCTGATCAATTTCTGGGAGCATTTTCTGCATATTGACCTTGCTTTGTTGAAAAAGTTCTGTTAACCATTCTCGATCTTGTAATTTAGCTAATTGCTGAAGACAAAGTAAGAAGAGAGGAAAATGGGTGCCACTTTCCAGTGGTTGAGCTAGTTCTGAAATGCTCACCAGCTCTGAAATGATGGCACGAGCTGCAAACTGTGCTAAATAGGATTTCACCAAGGGGATGTCAACCTCCAGTTTGGGGCACTGGTCCAATACATTCAGGAAAGCCTGCATAAAGTTGTCACTCGTGGCTATCCCCTCCTGTCTGAGCAAACTGATCAAAGAACTTGCTTTTTCTTTATCTTCATCACTTCTATCTAGTGACAGGATAATTACTTTGCTTAACATCTCAGGAAGAAAGTGTTTAGGAGCCCTCATTTCTCGGACACCACTGACAGCTTCATTTGCATTCACTATTCAGATATTCAGTCATCAAAGATAATTTTTTTTAACTTCTTTTTAATTTTTATTTTCCCCTTTTTCAACCAATATCTTATCATTCCCTTTTTTTAAAAATCTTTTTTATTTTTCAATTTTAAAGTCATACTCTATCATCTCATAGTAGTTAACCTTATTTTTGATATATATATATATATAAGTTGTTCTCTCTTTAAAATTTTGAGATACAGTTTCTTCTAACAGATCAAAATATACCGTAAATCTCTAGTGTATGGCTTTGTTCTAGTCTCCTGCCTGATCACATTCTCTCTCATTTTTTTTTAAACTTCTTCTTTCTTTTTTCAACCAACTTCTTCTCTTATCAATTCCTTTTATAAAATCTTTTATAATTTTCATCTTTAGAGTCATATTCCATCCCTTCATCATATTAACCCTTATTATTGTACATATATGTTTTTCTTTAAAATTTTGGGAGGTACTTTCTTCTAACAGACCAAAATACGCCCAAATTGTAGTGTGCGGCACTGATCTATGCACCAGCCTGATCGTATTTGATCTTATTCTATTATTTTTGTTTTGTTTTGTTTTTGTTTGTTTTAATTTTTTCTTTTTCTTTTTTCTTTCTTTCCCTTCTTTCCCCCCAGTTTCAGGTCTTTTCTGATTTGTTTAGTGTATATTTTCTGGGGACATTTTTACCCTGTTAGCATTTTGTTCTCTCATTCATCTGTTCTCCTATGGACAAAATGACAAGATGGAAAAAACCACCTCAACAAAAAAAACAAGAGACGGTTGCGAATGCCAGGGATCTAATCAATACGGACATTAGTAAGATGTTGGAACTAGAGTTCAGAGTGATGATTTTAAAGATACTAGCTGGGCTTGAAAAAAGCATGGAAGTTATTAGAGAAACGCTTTCTGGAGAAATAAAAGAACTAAAAACTAACCAAGTCGAAATCAAAAAGTCTATTAATGAGGTGCAATAAAAAATGGAGGCTCTAACTGCTAGGATAAATGAAGCAGAAGAGAGAATTAGTGATATAGCAGACCAAATGATGGAAAATAAAGAAGCTGAGAAAAAGAGAGATAACTACCAGATCACGAGGGCAGAATTTGAGAGATAAGTGATGCCATAAGACGAAACAACATTAGAATAATTGGGATCCCAGAAGAAGAAAGAGAGAGAGGGGCAGAAGGTATATTGGAGCAAATTATAGCAGAACTTGCCTAATTTGGGGAAGGAAAGAGGCATCAAAATCGAGGCACAGAGAACCCCTCTCAAAATCAATAAAAATAGGTCAATACCCCGACATCTAATAGTAAAACTTAGGAGTCTCAGAGACAAAGAGAAAATCCTGAAAGCAGCTCAGGAGAAGAGATCAGTAACCTACAATGGTAGAAATATTAGGTTGGCAACAGACCTATCCATAGAGACCTGGCAGGCCAGAAAGGACTGGCATGATATATTCAGAGCACTAAATGAGAAAAATATGCAGCCAAGAAAACTATATTCAGCTAGGCTGTCATTGAAAATAGAAGGAGAGATAAAAAGCTTCCAGGACAAACAAAAACTAAAGGAATTTGCAAACATGAAACCAGCCCCACAAGAAATACTGAAAGGAGTCCTCTAGGCAAAGAGAGAGCCTAAAAGCAGCATAGACCAGAAAAGAACAGAGACAATATACAGTAACAGTCACCTTACAGACAATACAATGGCACTAAATTCATATCTTTCAATAGTTATCCTGAATGTAAATGGGCTAAATGCCCCAATCAAAAGACACAGACTATCAGATTGGATTAAAAAACAAGACCCATCGATATGCTATCTGCAAGAGACTCATTTTAGACCCAAAGACACCCCCTGGTTGAAAGTGAGCAAGTGGAAAACCATTTACCATGCTAATGGACACCAAAAGAAAGCTGGGGTGGCAATCCTTATATCAGACAAATTAGATTTTAAACCAAAGACTGTAATAAGAGATGAGGAAGGACACTATATCCTACTTAAAGGGTCTATCCAACAAGAAGATCTAATAAATGTAAATATCTATGCCCCTCACATGGGAGCAGCCAATTATATAAGGCACTTAAAAACAAAGGAAAGAAACACATCAACAATAATACAATAATAGTGGGGGACTTTGACACCCCCCCTCACTGAAATGGACAGATCATCTAAGCAAAAGATCAGCAAGGAAATAAAGACTTTAAATGACACACTGGACCAAATGGACATCATATACATATTCAGAACATGCCATCCCAAAGCAACGGAATACACATTCTTCTCTAGTGCCCATGGAACATTCTCGAGAATAGATCACATCCTAGGTCACAAATCAGGTCTCAACTGGTACCAAAAGATTGGGATCATTCCCTGCATATTTTCAGACCACAGTGCTTTGAAACTAGAACTCAATCACAAGCGGAAGGTCGGAAAGAACTCAAATACGTGGTGGCTAAAGAGCATCCTACTAAAGAATGAATGGGTCAGCCAGGAAATTACAGAATTAAAAAAAAAAATCATGGAAACCAATGAAAATGAAAACACAACTGTTCAAAATCTTTAGGATGCAGCAAAGGCAGTTCTAAGAGGAAAGTATATAGCAATACAAACCTTTCTCAAGAAACAAGAAAGGTTTCAACTACACAACTTAACCCTACACCTAAAGGAGCTGGAGAAAGAACAGCAAATAAAACCTAAACACAGCAGGAGAAGAGAAATAAAGATCCGAGGAGAAATAAATGAAATAGAAACCAAAAGAACAGTAGAACAGATCAACGAAACTAGGAGCTGGTTCTTTGAAAGAATTAACAAGATTGATAAACCCCTGGCCAGACTTACCAAAAAGAAGAGAAAGGACCCAAATAAATAAAATCATGAATGAAAGAGGAGAGATCACAACCAACACCAAAGAAATACAAACAATTATAAGAACATATTATGAGCCACTCTATGCCAGCATTTTAGATAGTCTGGAAGAAATGGATGCATTCCTAGAGATATATCAACTACTAAAACTGAACCAGGAAGGAACAGAAAACCTGATCAGACCTAAAACCACTAAGGAAATTGAAGCAGTAATCAAAAATCTCCCAACAAATTAGAGCCCAGGGCCAGATGGCTTCCCAGGGGAATTCTACCAAACATTAAAAGAAGAATTAATACCTATTCTCCTGAAACTGTTCCAGAAAATAGAAATGGAAGGAAGACTTCCAAACTCGTTTTATGAGACCACCATTACCTTGATCACCAACCAGAGAAAGACCCCATCAAAAAGGAGAATTATAGACCAATACCTTGATGAACATGGATGCAAAAATTCTCACCAAACTACTAACCAGTAGGATCCAACAGTACACTAAAAGGATTATTCACCATGACAAAGTGGGATTTATCCCCAGGCTGCAACGTTGGTTTAACTTCCTCAAATCAATCAATGTGATACAATACATTAATAAAAGAAAGAACAAGAACCATATGATCCTCTCAATAGATGCAGAAAAAGCATTTGACCAGGTACAGCATCCTTTCCTGATCAAAACTCTTCAGAGTATAGGGACAGAGGGTACATACCTCAATATCATAAAAGCCATCTATGAAAAACCTACAGCAAATATCATTCTCAATGGGGAAAAACTGAGAGCTTTCCCCCTAAGGTCAGGAACACGGCAGGGATGTCCACTATCACCACTGCTATTCAACATAGTATAGAAGTCCTAGCCACAGCAATCAGACAACACAAAGAAATAAAAGGCATTGGAATCAGTAAAGAAGAAGTCAAATTCTCACTGTTTGCAGATGATATGATACTTTATGTGGAAAACCCAAAAGACTCCGCACCAAAACTGCTAGAACTCATACAGGAATTTAGTAAAGTGGCAGAATATAAAATCAATGCACAGAAATCAGTGGCATTCCTATATACCAACAACAAGACAGAAGAAAGACCAATTAAGGAGTCGATCCCATTTACAATTGGACCCAAAACCATAAGATACCTAGGAATAAATCTAACCAAAGAAACAAAGGATCTGCACTCAGAAAACTATAAAATACTCATGAAAGAAATTGAAGAAGACACAAAGAAATGGGAAAACGTTCCATGTTCATGGATTGGAAGAACAAATATTGTGAAGGTGTCAATGCTACCTAGAGCAATCTACACATTCAATGCAATCCCTATCAAAATACCATCCACTTTTTTCAAAGAAATGCAGCAAATAATCCTAAAATTTGTGTGGAACCAGAAAAGACCCCGAATAGCCAGAGGAATGTTAAAAAAGAAAAGCAAAGCTGGCGGCATCACAATTCCGGACTTCCAGCTCTATTACAAAGCTTTCAGCATCAAGACAGTATGGTACTGGCACAAAAATAGACACATAGATCAATGGAAGAGAATAGAGAGCCCAGAAATGAACCCTCATCTCTATGGTCAACTAATCTTCGAAAGCAGGAATAAATGTTCAATGGAAAAAAGACAGTCCCTTCAATAAATGGTGTTGGGAAAATTGGACAACCACATGCAGAATGAAACTGAACCATTTCCTTACACCACACACAAAAATAGACTCCAAATGGTTGAAAGACCTAAATGTGAGACAGGAGTCCATCAAAATCCTAAAGGAGAACACAGGCAGCAACCTCTTCGACCTCAGCCGCAGCAGGTTCTTCCTAGAAACATCGCCAAAGGCAAGGGAAGCACGGGCAAAAATGAACTACTGGGACCTCATCAAGATAAAAAGCTTTTGCAGAGCAAAAGAAACAGTCAACAAAACCAAAAGACAGCTGAGAGAATGGGAGAAGATATTTGCAAATGACATATCAGATTAAGGAGTAGTATACAAAATCTATAAAGAACTTATGAAACTCAACACCCAAAGAACAAATGATCCAATCAAGAAATGGGCAGAAGACATGAACAGAGACATTTTTCTGTTCATGTCAGAAGATATCCAAATGGCCAACAGACACATGAAAAATTGCTCAATATCGCTCGGCATCAGGGAAATCCAAATCAAAACCTCAATGTGATATCACCT